TTTCGTAATGATTTTTGGGGGCTATTGCGAAAAATCTTTTATTTGGCGGTTCGTCGGTTCTTTCACAACCCATTCGCGTCGGCTTGGCTTAGCTTAACGTAGCTCTCCATCGACATCTCCACCTGCTGCCGCCAGAAAGATCTTTTTTGCTCTGGCAATAAAAGGCTGACAAGGAATCAATGAGCATAAATAAGAACAGAGGGGCTCTTAGCACTGGGCACTAAATAGCAGTTTAATTGGCACCCACAAGGCACGGTGGCAACAATGGCATAGGATTAGGCCGAATTAATGGTGGAATCACTGGAACTAATGTGTGGTAGTTGTACTGGGGCATCAGGAGTTCTCCACTGGAGCAGGTTGGCCCCTCTATTGCCACATTGCAGCATAATTGTGGGCAATGATGCGGCAGAATTGGGCAACCAGGCTGAGCTCAGGGCAAGAGCAATAAGAGGAATCAATTGGGAAATGCCCACAAGAAGCTTGGAGCCCTTCAAAAATCTTTTGAATTCGTTGAAGGAATGTATCAACCAGTTGTTTAGAAAAGGGAACTTAATTTATGTTTTGTTAATATAAAAGAAACTACTACTAGGGCACTTTTCCTTAAATTTACTTAAAAATACCTTCCATTTAGCCACCTTTATTGATCCCAACACTTGCTCCATTCATTCCCAGCTTAATCGAATTTGTTTTTCGTCGCTGAAACAATAAGAGTGTAACAATTACAACAGTGGAATCAATTAGGTGAACATAAACTGGCATTGCATAAGTGTGGCAGCTTACTTAATTAAAGTATTCGAATAAGTTCGAATAATTGCGGCTGGTGGGAGCCAAGCCGGGGCCCCCTCAAAGGGTCTACTCTACTCACTTTCTAACTCCCATTTCGCTCTCGGCACTCGAGTATTTTCGTAGCTGCGTAATCGCGACCCAAAACAGATACCCAGACCCACAAGACCCCAGAGCAATCCAATTCCAATCCAGCTCCAATCCCCAATCCAGTCGCTGTTGGGAATTTCTGTGGCTGTTGTTACCACAAGAGTTCGAGATCTGAAGTATCATAAACATTCACTTTTATCTACGAAATGCAGCGACGTATGGAGGAGCGTCGTCACCCAATTTCCTGCCGCTACTTGATACAGTTTTCGAGCGCTGGACAAGGTCGTTGGAGAGCCGCCTGTCAGTCAGTCAGTTGGTCGGTTGGTTCCAATATCGATGTTTTTTCTCGGATGTTTTTTGGTTATTTGTTGTGGTTTATGCAATAGACAAACATCACAACAATTGGTAAGGGTAATTGAGGTCTGTCAGTAGGTAAGCTCTGGGTGCCCCTGCAGCAGCAGCAGTCTCCTTTTTCCTGTCAATATGTCACATCTGTACACCAAGAAAAATAAATGAAAATGTAATTAAAAAGTGTGAAAAACTTTCGGTAATAATTTTAGGTTAATATTAATATAGGTAAACTAAGTAGTAACGCTCCAATAGTAACCTTAATCTCAATCAGGAACCTTCGATATAGCGTAGCCGACTAGTTAAACCGCCCAACCAAGTCATAATAACTCACAACACTCTTCTATTAATTACTTCACAGCTAACACTCACTTAACTGGAAGCTGTCTCAAACGACTGCGTTAATAACTATAATAAATGAACTTATAAAACCGTACAAATCCTTAACGTGATTATAATTATTATCAGTTCTCATATTAATGTCTTTTTTCGGGTGTAGTTGACTCTTGAAGTTCCTTGAGAAAAATCGAAAAGCCCGAAAACCAAACGGAGGCGCCGCTGCCCCCTCTTGATATCTACTGAGATACTTGGAGCTGTGTAAATACTTACGATTAATTACACTTGAGCCCAGCAGCAAACTCAATGGGCTCGATGGCAAATTTCTTTGCCGTCTGTGGCCTTTGTGGGCCACACAACAAATACAATAATAGTAGTAATAATGGAGCGTTAAATGGGCCAGCATCACCATCGCCAGCATCATCTCGTAAACCACATCAAAGTGGCGCCAAAGGGCATCGATAATAATGCGAATATCCGTGTGTACTTATTGTTTTCTTTTTCTCACAAAAGCCGGGCCAAGTCATTGAAGTGCTTCCAAAAATAGTCTGCAAAGCGATCTTGATAGGTAAGGGGGTATGGGGGGCAAAGGTGTCAATATGCAAATTGGCAAGGGTCGAATTGATTGATCACCTTTCAAAGTAATTATGCATGATAATTTGGCCGAAGAAGCGAAACGAATAGGGGAAACAGAAAAAAAAAAAACCCCAAGCGACAACAGTGCGTATGCGTAATGGGAACTGCTTTAAATAAGGCTAAGTAGCTTCTATATCACATAGAAGGAGTTTAGTCCTTTTTTATTCCCAAACTAATAAATATTCAAACAAGGCACATTCTAGGTTACTTTAAAACTCTAGAAAAGTTTTAATTACCCTAATAAATAGTTTTAAAGTCATTATATTTTCAACGTAAATGTCAAGTATTAATTGTATCTGCAGGCCACACTTCCAAAACGATTCCTGATCAGATGCTAATATGACCGCAGTTAAACTTAAATGCTCATAGACACTGCCAGCAATTTGAGATCGTAAAATTAAAGAGCACTTTTGAGCAAATCTTTATTACTCGCCAGCCATGTTTAGCACGATCATATAATTATCTCAGTGGAATCCATCATCCTAGAAACTCGCATTCATATTCACGACGGGTGTGCTTTTGGGGGCCAAGAGGTCACTCCAACGCTCCCACTCTCTCGCCACATTCCCCAGCGGATCTTCAGTTGGATGCCACAGATCTTTGGCCATTAATTTGTTGCCGAGTTTCTCAATATCGCACTGCTCATCTGCTTGACCAACCCAAACTCGGCTGCCCCCCATTAAATGGGCTTTTTATTTAAATTCGCTGCTTGGCAGGCAAAGCGCCAAACAAAAGAAGCAGCGGCAATTTTGTTGCACTCAACAGGCGGCGAATTCTTAGCAACAATTTGCTGCTCCAATTAAATCCACAACTACGAGACTGCCTCCTCCTGCTCCTTCTCTTCACCTGGCTGTGCATTAATCATGAGGTGATTTATGGCGCCCACGCATCTGCTCACGTTTTCCTTGCAACAACATCTGCGCGTGTGGGCAGCCCGCCGCCTCCCACAGCAGTCACCACCCCCAATCCTGCCCCGATCCTCCCGCGCTACCAGCATTGTTACACTCCGTTGGCCGTCTTAGAAGCGTGTGGAAATTAAACGGTGTGGCAAGCATCGGAGCAAATTGCTGCTGTGGGCGTAGGAGCTGCAACATCAACAGCAGCAGCAGCAGCAACATCCCCTTCCGAAAACTTCCTCGACCAGGTGTCAAAACGTAAGCTGCAACCGCAGAATCCGCAATTCCCAATCCCCAATCCAAATGCGCATTGGTGCCAGGCTATCCAATGAGTTTATTAAGCTTACACACTGAAAGAAATATATAGTAAAAAAATATGAATATAAAATGTAAATAATTGCTATCATTAATTTTCAGAAGAAATGCCTTACCTTTGACTTGATCTTTATGTGAATTCTATATTTATATATTTCATCTTTGATTTAAATTCATACAATATTTAAGATTTATAAAACATTAAGAACTGCTGGGAATTTTTCTCCGTGTAACAGCTGCCGGCGCTACGTTTGAGCTTGTCAGGTGGTGGCACGTTGAGTGTTTTAATTACAACCATTGCGCTGCGCGGCTCAGCGCGATCGGTTGCATCCGCATAAACCGCATAAAGCCAAGTTTATTTGATTTACGCGTGGTCATTAGCCATTGCCAAGTGGCCAAGAAAGAAGTCTTGGCCGCACTCAGCCTGTCGCGAAATGTCAAAAGGTTAATTGGATTGTGGCAGCCGTAGCCGGAGATGCAACCGAATTTGAAACTGAAGCCGGACCCAGCCAAGAATCTTGTTGAAAGTGGAATGTCCAAGTGCGCCTGAATGGCTGCACTGACTCTGACTTTGGCTTTACATCCCATTCATTCACCCGAAATGGTCAATGGGAGCTGCAGTGAGTGGTTACAGCAAAGGAGGATTTCAAATTGATTAAACACATTCTGTCTGATTTAGTAAAAGTATCTTATTTAAATGTATTTATAATAATAATATGGAATGTTGGATAAAAGATCAAAATGCATCTATTAAGTATCCAATTAAAAGATATATTTCAATGGAAATGACCTAAGCGAAACGAATTGGAGCAGTTAAATGAGCTTAAAAGGGAACCTAAATCCCCCAGATTCGTTTATCCCATAATTATCCCTGCCACAAAACTTTCCTGGCCAAAATCCAATCACCTCGCTAATGCCTGCGGAACATGCAACCGATAAAAAGCACCGCCAGAAGATGAGTTCATTTGGGCAGAAGACACAGAAGACAGCCTGGGAATCTGGACTGTCGTCGTCGTCCACTGAGAGTTTGATTGATGACATCGCCCACCGCATCGGCAGCTTCACACATTGAGTTATCGCCGGTGTGTCTCTTCATATAGCGATAGACTCCACTCTTTTTGGATATGCATTAAATATGAGATGGTATTTTTTCTCTTCTTATTTTTGCTTGTACTGCGTCGTGTCGCTCAGATCTGCTTAAGTGACAGCCGCCGAGCCGTTGGTTGTTGTTGTTTTTGTGGATGATACACCTACCTGCCCGCCTACCTGCTCCATGAGTGCTCCATCCCGCCCGTAACTGAAGTCGATTAAAATTCCTCCGAAATGTTGGCTGAATGTTAATCGCTCATTGTTTGAGCAGGCGCACAAAATTAAATTGTTAGCTTTTTCGTAAATTTGACATATAGCGGATAGTTGGGGGGCTTTGCCGGTCTGGTCGATCGTCTTTCAAGCTGCCGCCGCCAACAGCTGAGTGCATCTTGAAAATGTTTGTAGCCATCGTTTTTGCTGCACTTTTAATTGCATTCCCTGCCGGGCGATGGCAATCAGCGGCCGAAGACAAGTTAATTAAAACCTAAGCATAGCACTTCGGCCAGATTATCATCAGTGGTTCGTATTATCAGAACAACAGCTGCACTTCTATATAAAAATATATATGTATAAGCCATACAAGAAATCGATTTACAAAAAATGTTAAGGAGATGGAATCTAAGAAAGTACGTCGCACCAGTTGAGGGGAGGAATATTGAGTTTTATGGCGTGGGTTAGAATTCGCCGTTGCCATACTTCTGGATTTTGAGCAGGTCGCAGGAGAACTGGAAGAGCTGCTCGCACTTGGCTGGCTTCTTGGCATCCGGATGGAAGGGACCCTTGCCGCCGTTGCTCAGATATGTGCCGCCCTGGCCCTCAATGGAGGGATCGATGGCTGCAAAGACCACGGTCCTGGAGCCCCTCTCCGGTGTCTTGAAGAAGAGCTTCTTGAAGATGGGAACCGATGTGGTGGCCGAGTGCTCAAACAGATCCGTGTCCACGATACCCGGATGCACAACGTTCACCTGCACGTGCGCCTTCTCCGCATCGAGCACGGTCTGCAGATGGCGGGTGAACAGAATCTGTGCCAACTTTGACTGACTGTAGGCGGTTCCAGGGTAGTAGTGTTTTCTAAAAGGCATTAAAATCACATTAGATATTAGGACACTTAATAATGCACACTTGTACTCACTCTCCATTGATATCCTTGTAGTTAATGCGTCCAATAAGATTCACACAGGAGCTGACATTCACAATTCTGGCGTTCTTTCCCTCCTTGCCCGCCGCCTTCAGCTTGGGCATTAGCAAGTGCGTGAGCAGGAAGTGACCCAAATAATTGATGGCAAAATGCGATTCGTAGCCATCGGCGGTGATCTTGAAGGGTGCGAACATAATGCCCGCATTGTTCAGTAGCAGATCCACCTTCGTGAAACGATCCTTGATGAGCTGGGCAAAGGCCTTGACTGACTTCAGATCCCCCACATCCAGTTGCTCACAGATGAGTTTGCCCTTAGTGGCCTTTAGGTCAACTATAGATGCCACTGCGGCTTCTGCGCTGCGAGGATCACGAACACCTTTGGTGGGATATTCAAAATATTTATATTATAAGGAAACGAGTAGGGAAATAACTTTGGGAAGCCGAACTTTAGATGACCTTGCAGTTATTAATTGAACTAAAGGATTAAATCGTAAATAGGTCAAGACCAAGCATTTTTGAAAATTTAATTACAAAATTTTGTTTTTTGCCTATGATTGCTAGTTCGACTCAGCTATTAATGCTGATCAAGAATATATATGATTTATAGGGTCAGAAATGACTCCTTCAGTGTGTTACAAGCTTCTGACTAAAGTTATATTACCCTAAAAGGGAATAAAATAATATTCGATTTAAGATATAACATACATGGCGTATACTTAACTTGAAACCCCTTGAATTAAGTATACGCCATGTGTGTATTAAGGAAGAATAGTCTATAAAGACAAGTAGTTCCAGTAAAAAGCGAGTTTTGCAATTCTATTTTAATCGAATCGGAAATCGTTATGATCGATCGCTTCAAATATACGATAATTATAAATATTTGCATATTAACATTTTTCGACAAATCAAAGTTTAAAACCGCATAACTAAGCCAAAAATACATTAATTTTAATTTGGAAAGCTGTCCTATGTTAGCTTTTATAAGGGTAATAAATCTGCATACTCAATTTAAAAAGTCAATTTTTGCCAGTTTTTGGCAATTTTAACCCCTTATAAAAATTTGAAAAAATGTGCCAAAATTTTTTTCCTTTCTTTCAAGTCTAGAAAGATTCGCTTGTTGATGCTGATCAAGAATATATATGATTTATGGGTTCGGAAACGACTCCTTCACAACTTTACAAGCTTCTGACTAAAGCTAAAACACAATTTTTAATCGATATTATTTATATTTTTATATGTAAATTTCTTCAACAAATGAAAGTTTAAAAAACTCATAGCTAAGGCAAAAAAGCATTGATTTTAATTCGGAAAGCAGCCCTGTGTTAGCTTTTATTAGGGTAATAAATCTGCATACTCAATTTAAAAAGTAATTTTTTGCCAATTTTTGGCAATTTTAACGATGTAAAAATTCGAAAAAATGTGCAAATATTTTTTTTCTTTCTTTCAAGCCTAGAAAGATTCGCCTGTTGATGCTGATCAAGAATATATATGATTTATAGGGTCGGAAATGACTCCATCACATCCTTTCAATCGATGGAGTTAAATTAAATTACCCTGCAAGGGTATAATTATTAGATTTACAAGCAGTAGAAAGATGTGTAACTTCATGCTTAAAAATTTATTAACTGTGATTTTTAAATTTCGATATAGATCTGGAACAAGAGTATATAAGTTTAAAAACTTGAAACTGTAGGAGTTTTGTTTTCCTTGCGATTTTAAATCGTTTCTACATGTATAAAGATTTTGAGTTGGCGACATCTAGCGTATGTTAAGCGAACAGGCTATTCGACATGAATTTTACATACGATATATTGCAAAGACTTTTACGATATTCACTCTGTTAAGGCTCTTTCAAGTTAGATATTTTTAAAAAATTCGTAAAAATTACACGATTAAAATAATAATTCTTTAAAAAATATAAAAATATGTGAAAAAGAATAAAGTATCCAAATACATAATTTCCCCTCCAAACAGCCCAACGAATTCTTTAAAAAAGGTATACAAAATGAACGTTAAACCGAAAAGTCAACAAACTCTTATCGCTACAATTCCCTCCCAAAAAAAACCGATGTGATCGATACGGAAAGCGAGACCTGATTATCTAATGAATTCCAGCGTATGGATCACGTTTTCGTGAACAGCGACATGCTGCAGATGGATCTGCATTGCACTGATCCGTATTTTAATTTCTTTTCTGCTGAGACACTCGACAATTCCAGGCACGCGCACTGCACACCGCATACTCAGCTCGTTCAGAAATGTTTGTGGAATCAATAAGCAGGCCCTAAATTTAAAGCCGGCAAAGCTTGGATTGGTCAACTCACCCATGACGACAGTCATGTCGCAGGCCAGCAGCTTCTCCACAATTCGCAGGCCGATGCCGCGGTTGCCTCCAGTGATGACAGCAATGCGATCCGGTTGCTTGTAAAGTGCTAAATGGATAATAGCATTAGATTGTGATATGTATATAGTATAGTATTTATCCACTTACCCACGCGATCCCTTGCCGCATACTGAGCATCATGGATGAGCCCCACAATGCCCAGATACTGGTATCGGAACTCCGTCTTCCACTCGAACCAGGACTTCGGGAACTCCTTGGTCGTTTTCGAGAAGAGGAAGGCGCAAAGCAGCAGGCCGATGAACAGGAGTGACAGCAGGGTGCCCAGCATGATTGTGTCTGAAATGGAATACGTTAAATGATAAGGAATCAGTTTTCTGAGAGGTCAAAGTCCAGCGGCTGATAAAGATTTTTGTTTCGGCTCGTCACAGCCATTAGCTATGGACGTTGTCGGGGCAATTATCAATATTGGCGAGTCAATTCGCCTCGAGTGCACTTTGCGACACCCTTTCCTCCAGCTGAGTCAGCAAGATTTAAGTATCCAAGGCACATTGGGTACATGGGCTAAATGAAAACGTTTGACGAACACGGAACTGCATAGTTTGCGAAATCAATTTGTCATCGTAATTCGTTTAGATTTTGTCAAGGTTCTAAATGGGAGAGTCGAGTCAACGAGGTCTTAAAAGATTTTTATTATCAGAAATTATAAATAGTTGCATTAATTAATATAATCGCAATCAGTTTTTTTGTTTACAAAAACCCCAGCTAAGACCTAGCTTAATCTTTCAATTATTTCAATGTAGAGCATTTAAGTTACGACCTAACCCCATTGACCCGCAAAAAGCTTGAGTTGTTGCCTCTTCCACCTGTGACTTTTCGTGTTTGCTTAGCAATTTTGTAAGTTTGTTAGCCGGTCTTATTAAGCCAATAGTGACTAAAAACTACCAAGTTTTCGCCTTAAATTTATGCAAATTTTCACTGAGACCTTTACCCTTCAGAACCCCTGGTGTTGCACTTAAGGTGTAATTGCACCCCAGGAAAATTAAAAAATAATTAGACAGGTGCCAACTGACCGATGAGACACTATACTTTGTCGGATTTATTAAGTGTCTGTGAGAGAACGGGCTAGGTTCGCTCGTAAAATGCAAATTAAAAAGCCAAACAGCGGCGGAATGAAAGTTGAAGAACCCCCAGCTCAGAGCCAAAACCAAAAGCCAATGAACAGGGCCAAAAGAGTGAATTTGGGGCCAAAGCTTAAAATTGACTAAGGCGCTATGTTTCTTCATATCTTCTTTCGATATGGGGAAAGGGGCAGCCGACCTCACATCGTACACCGTGAAGAATGATTTGAGAATTAATATTGAACTTATATTATATATTTAATGAACTTTAAACCTACTTAAAAAACAGTCAAACTACCAGTAACTTTAATTATGATTTATTACTAAGCCCGTCATTATTCTTAGTCTATTAGACAACTCCAATTAGTTACGATGATCTGTAGGATAAATATTACATAGACACTGAGAAACCAGATGTACGAAAATCTCTTAGGTTTAAAAATAACTCTTAGAATTTAGAATTCTCTTCAAACCTTAATCTCGACTATTTCTCGAACAAATAAAGTACCTGCTGCTACTTTACCTTTTTCTATCAGATAACTACCATGAATACCATGAATGAATAAATTTCTGTCAGTGTAGTCAAGGAATATTTTAAAGAAATTGTATAATATATGGATGTGGCACATTTAAGTGCAAGTTCATAAATATCCGTGGCTTTAACCCAATTTCATCTATTTTTTCTTGGTGTGTACGTATGACTCTGCGACTGAACGTGCTGCTGTCAAGAGTTTCGACTTCCGTCAACAAAACGCAAAAGCTTAGCACTTTTATTGTTGTTTGTGGTCGGTCCTCTTCGTTGTTAATTTGGCTGCATATGGTTAACTTTCTTTTCTATTGTTGTTGCTGTGGCTGCCCTTGCAGGCGGTTTTATTAAATCTTTTTGTTTTACCTTCAATTTGGCCTGCGAAGCGAAATGCACTTGCGAGGGAGATCGAGATCGTCTGCCTTTTGGTTTTCTATCACGTTTTCCGAAAACAGTGTGTCGCTGTCGAAACCGGTTTGCCAGGCCCTTAATGCCACAACCGCTCCGCGAGAGATCCAAAAACGAACTAAACGTTAGCTTTAACTGTGCGCCTTTTCGCCCAGAACTTGATTCGTTTTTCTCTTTTTGTTTTGGCCCACAAAACAGGTGGTTTTACGAAGTGCCGGGCTGCAGCGGCTTTAAGATCGACGGGTCCTTCGGCAGAAACCTATTCTATTGACGACGAGCAGCTTATGTACATTTATTTTAGTTGTTATAATTGCTTGTGTGTTGACTAAATTGTGATATATATAGTGATTCGATTGCGAATTGAATCGACAAATTTGTTAAGAACCTACATAAAGACAACGCTCCGTCCGTATGACATAAAAATGAGTATATTTAAAGAAACACACATATTCAAACTCTACTCTTAATTCTGTTTGAAATAAAAATGACAAACGAAGAACAAAAAAAGGAATTTTTTGCACTTGAAAAGTTTTTGGAGCTTTTAACGAGTTCAAATTTGAATTTAAAAAAGAACTAGTTTAGTTCAACCTGTCAAGGACGAAGAACTGCTTGGAACTAGTTTCAACTGCTTACTGGAAGTAGTATCTGCTTACTGGAAGTAGGATCAGCTTACTGGAAGAAGAGCGCGCGCACCCAAGATCGCGCACGGGCACACTATGAAAAGGGAATTTCCGCACAGGCGGCGGGCACACTAAGCCCAACATAGACAACAAACACGAGTCCAACAATAACGTGGAAGACAAATTTCGGTACGTTAATCGTCATGTATAGCCGTTAAAGGTAAGTAAACAATTTAAAATACGCTCTTACTCACGGTGTTCTCCCGACCGGCGACAGACCGTGACAATATCTGGTTTACACCAAGTGTTTGTTTTACAAAATATATATATATAATATTTTTGGGCCAGCAGTGTGACCTTCGACTGGGTGGGAGACAAATACCAAACTGTTAGCGAGGCACACTACGTATGTTAATAACAGTGTTTTATCGATAACAAGGCTGTTGGGGATAATATCGAATTTGAATTTGAATTTTTATGAATTTTCTCCATATTCATTTTGAATTTTTTTTTTTGAGGGCAAAGATTCATAGGTAATAAAATAAACTCTTGTCATTTCGCTAGCTGATTTATTTATTGGAACCAAAATTGTACAGTGCATTCAAGTGTTACAACAGAAATATTTTCATATAACAATTACAATTTATGTTTTGCCTTGATACCAGTTATTAACTAATTTTGCCATTATATAGTTGTTTATACTTAGTTTGAAATGAAACAGAAGCTGAATCTAAGCGAAAATCGAAAAATCTATGCTTTGCGCTTCCTGGTTTAGATTAAATTTCCGTTTCCGGTTACGGTTTCGGTTAAATCATTCATTGGGGATTATACCATTATATAGAGTGTGTGTCGTGTGTGTATATAGTTTGATACATATATTACTAAATTGAAATATATACTTTTAATCGTGTGTGCTGGTTTGTGTGGGTGTTAGAGAGGTGCCTAAGTGCTACTAAAAGAAAATTACTGTGGAAAGGACAACGTATTTGAAAAAACTCGGAACTCTAAGTTGCAGCTGCGTTGTCAGTGTCTTTTATCGCCTGTTTATCCATCTTCACATCCGTTCCCGTTCCTGTTCCCATCTCCCCTTCTAATTCGGAACTAGCAGCGACATCCTTAGGCTCCTTTAACTGTCAATTCTCCACGGACATGTTGCCGATGTCATCGTTGATGGCCAGAACTTGATTGATGAAGTTCTGGTCGGTGACCACCTCGGCAAGGGACTTGCATAGATCCGTTAGCTCCTGCAGGGGCATCCTCATCTGTGGTGCCAGCCTGCTCAGGTGCTCTTTAATGGAGTCCGGAAGTTGCTATAATACTTAATTGTTAGCGTCTTGAATGGGTTTTATTTTGTTTCCTTCTCACCTTGCCCTTGCCCACTTTAAAGGCGCTAAACATCAGCTTTGTCCGCACTCGCTGCTCATTCGTTCCGTCGTAGAAGATGGTCAAGTAGGACTCCTGGACATTGGCCACCAGCGGGAAGTAGATCCCTGCGTACACCTGGCCCTTGGCATCTCGCGATAGAAGCGACCGGAAGTTGTACACCAGATTACGGCGCACGGTGACATCTATCGCTGTGATGTACTCCTGGGCCACGTAGACCAGCGAGGTCTTGAAGCTGGTCTCCTCGCCACGGATCTCCCGCTCCTTCCATTCCACGAACTTGCCGTTCTGCTGGCTGTAAGCGTAGCAGTAGTCCCGCTGCAGGTGGGGCTCCTTCGATTGGGTGAACCAGCCTGTGGAAAAGAGGGTTTATTAGTATAGCTTCTCAGTAGGGATATTAAGAAAACGTACCCGTGTGGGGATAACTCTGATCCTGCATGACAGTCACAGCTCGGCTGACATGGTATCCCGGATCCAGGATCATCACACCTCGGCGCTCGCCGATGGCAATGCGCATGGCCACCATTACGTGCTCCTTTTCAACGCCGGCATCCACCGAATTCAAACCGCACTCCTCGTCCAGTTGGACGTAGTCGTTGCAGTCCATCACCTGCTCCTCGCAGGACACCACATACAGGTAGTTGGCCAGCACTGGGAAGAGTTGAACCATCCTGGCCATGATCTCGAAGGCCAGGGATACGCACATGTGGTGGCGACGATTGATGGGCACATCGTAGAACTGGAAGAAGCTGCGCAGATCAGAGCGACGGGTGCGCTTGAAGGAGCGATAAAAGTCCACAAAGAGATTCACGGTGTTGTAGTGCGTCTCCTCCAGCATGCGCTGCAGCGTCGTCTCCACAATTCCGTTCAGCTCCTCATACTGCCAGACGTTGTCAAAGATAAGGGTGCCCTTGCCGGACCCGGAATCGGACCAATCCGGCAGCGGCAGCGGATGGCCCAGGGGCCACACGCCATTCACTTGGTTAAAGGCCTCCAGGTCATAGCCATCGCCCACGACCCACGACTTGCTGCTGCTGGGCGAGATACCGCCTTCGTCCAGCTCTGCCAGTGGCTGCTGTCGGGCCAGCAGCTGCCTGACGTCGGAGTAGCGCTCCGATCCATCCACCGATGTCAGGTCGGTTGGAGGCGCCAGCTCTGGCTCCTCCTCATCCTCCAAGTCCTCCTCACTGGAGGTGGAGGGTGTGCGACGGATGGCGCCCGTGCCATGTCCAGATGCGTGCTCATTTGCGGTAGCAGATCGCGTAGTCAATCCCATTCCGCGCACCGCATCCGCCAGCTGCTGATCCGCGGCATGCAGCAACGGATCATGGGCAACGGCGGCGACGGCAGCAGCGGTCTCCTCGCCAAGCGATAAGACCGCTCCACCTCCATCCCGTCGGCGATTGGTGGCAGCGGCGAGTCAACTCGGCCATTCGGAGCCCCATCGGCCCACGGTGGGCACATAGCCACTTTCGCAATCATTGAGCGTGGCCTCTAGTTGAATTTTGGCGACTTGTTGGAGCGTTGCGTTGGCGCTTGGATGCAGCGATGCTTGGGCAGCTTGACCAGCCTGGGTGGCTCCCACTCCTGCACTGATCAGACTAATCCGGCCCTGCGCTCGCTTGAACAGGAGGTCCGGCTCGTCTCCAAATTTCGTCGTTAGTTTAGACTGATCTGTTTTCGGAAAGAGTAGGTGATTGATGCTAATTAGGAGAAGGTAATATAATTTATTGTAACACTATAATAACCCACTGAACTCTGGACCTATAAGCGGTGTCCCTGCAATCTAAACTTATTACCTAAATATTTTAAAATATCTATTATAATCTTCCTTTTTATGTAAAGAAGTTTTCTGGGGCACCCTGATAAAGCCTCCTTCAGATTTGGACAGTTACAGAATATATATTTTTTAGACTACCTATTTCAAATGGGTTATCTCTCTCATCCCAGATTATTTTACTAAAGATTTTCCTCTCCAAAGTAAACACATTTTTCATGTCTGACCCTTGATTTAAACCCTTGTTGATCCCTGTTGCTGATTAGTGAAAAATACCTCCCGGGGTTTTGTAATTGCCTTCGATCTCAGCACAGCAGGTATATAATTCCGACCTTGGCAAAGTCAATTAGACAGATGGAGAGCCCTTTTAATCTCACTTTGTAGGGGTTTGTTGGGTTCATTTTCGCCCAGTGTGTTGCCGGGAATAAATACATCTGACGGTACAGTCCCCAGTTCGTTCGTCTAGCTGGCAATAAACAATGTACTTTGTTATCAGCGTGAGGCAGGAAATGGGTGGGTATGTCTAAAATGGGTTTCAAGTGCTGATTAACAACTGTTGTTAGTTGCGGCCAATAAAGTATAATGGGCACAATGACCACAAGGTACCCTAATTTGAGTATCTTAAAGTGCCCACGTGCCCATGGTTACTGTGTGCCTACTGAGTGGTTCAAGGTGCACACAGCATGTAGCTTCAAGCGAAATCTGGACAATGTCAGGCGGTTATCTTGTTTTGAATGCCATTGATTAGACACATATTCTGCGTCATCTGAATTCGCTTTGTTTGTAATGTGACTCAGTGCCTTAGCAGCATATGTACAATGTGGCACATGGAAAATATTTCGCAGAGGCACGCGCAATTTGTGCTAATTGCACGTGATTCACCGGAAGCCAGAGTCTGCGGGTTGGACTACAATGTGTTTTGCATTGTGAGTCGGTCTATGAAGTTTATTTGCCCCTATTTATCAGTACCACAAGTTAGCACATATAGTAATATGCCTTTTGTTATTTTCATTCTGAGTAATCTTTGTTGTGCGTCCGAGATTATTATTAAATTTTACAGGAATGCTGATTATATGTCGGGGGATTTTAGCTATATTTTAGTACTTGGAAACAGAATATGAACTCAGCGAACTAAAATTATATTTTTAAATTGCTTTTAATGCTGGCAACTAACGTTTATTATGGCCACTATACCAGAAAGTTTATTAATCTATTTTTAAAATTCAATTTTTGTTGTTTATATTATCCTATTGTAAGCATTCTTTATAAAAAATGCAGCTGCACTTGTCGTCTGACAAAAACAAACAGATTATAAATCTTTTAAAATATATAAGAATTTCTTAAAACTGAGTTTTCCTAACTTTTCCCACCAATACGTATCTTTGAGATGTAACTTATCTTATTATTAATACATTTACTTACCCATACAATGGCCTAAGCCCAATAATCAAAAATTGTTGTTTTCCTGGTTAAGATCTTTGGTTATTTCGCTTTTTCCACACACAATCTTGTATCCTATGCGATGTGGTGATGTTTTCCACTCGACGAAGGTCTCAATTAAATTGGATTTAAATCGGTTGTTAAAAGGCGCAACAGTTGGGCTTCAACTGCTGAGACTGATGTTTTCAATGCTTTTCACGACGCGCGTGCGTGGAAAACCGAACGAACGGAAGGAAAATAAAATAAGGGGAACGCGAACTAAAAGCAAACAACTTCTTGTTTGCGGTCTATGCCGTTTCTTTGTCTTTGATTCTTATGTTTTTCGGCCTTAAATTTGTTTACTTTCTTGTTATGTTTTGTTTTTTTATTTTTTATTTGGTAATCGCCTTTGCCTGTTCAATGCAGGTCCGAGTTTTTTAACGATATTGGCGAGTTAATCGACATCGAAGAGGATTTTGTTCGACACTGGGGCTGCGATACTATACGGTCTGGCTGGCTATATAATATGCACTTGCACTTTTTGCTATTTTCGAATATTTTCCCTTGGCTTTTCCGATTTTCCGACTGTCCGCTTTGCTGAGGCGAATGCTCCGAGAGACGCGTAACGACTGGTGAAAATCGAGTGCGGTCCGTCGCTATATAAACGATCGGCGACGGCAACGGAAGCAGCGACTGCGACTGCGACAGCGACTGCGACAGCGACTGAGGCAGCGTCTGACACAGTTTCCTATGGTTCAGATTTTGCTTTATTCACAAGAGCGCAAAATATTTCAATTTATGACGCAAAAAAAGCTTGAAAAATTCCACACAATAAGATAAGGGGGAACGGAACTTGGAACGCGATTTTTGTTTTGCTCCCGAGGTTCGTAGTAAACAAAATCGTAGTTTATTATTATTATTAATGTTGTTTATATTGTTTTAATCCAAATGTTGGGATAGGAACTCTGCAATGAGAATTAGAGGGAAAGCCTGTTTTTAAGTTCAGCTCGAAAGGGGGATAAACAAAAAAGTACTGTGTATTCTTAGAAAGCCTTGTGAAATCGTGATAAACAAACATCATAAAAATATAAAAAAGCGTATTAAAAATATGGCCTAATTTAGGTCTAGTGACACCGTGATAAACAATAACACTGTTTAGCAAAGAAATTGTACAAAAACTAGAAGTCTGAATATTATTTTGGGAGTTTTATAAGAAAAGTGTTGTACATACATACATATATCTATCCTCTGTAGAAAGTGACTTATTTCCTTTTAATATTGAATCTATGATTCATAATTAAACGTATACTATTCTCTAATTTGTTTTTTAGTATCTCAACCCGTGATTTTTAGCTTAACTATGATAAACAGTGTTATAATAATAACAATAAAGGCGCATACGCAATTTGTTTGTTTGCTTACTTTGATTTTAGTTGCTAAATCTTATCACTCTGAGTCAACGCTTGTTTATGGTCTATTTATACAGCTTTAGACTCCCCTGAAACTCGGATTTTATAACTGACCGAGTGGAAAATTTGTGATGCTTCATAATTTGTATACCGGCACCTTATCTAAGCACCACCCGCTGTGGATTCGATTGGATGCACTCCCTCTGAAAAGGGGGCATTGCATGCATTATGAATTTCACCCTGATCCGAAGCCATAAAGCGACTTTGGGGGAGAGTGGCACTCATAATGCCAACTCTGGTTGGGGTCAAGGTCCTCCCCCGACAGAGAAATGGGCTCAAGGAACGTTTGCCAACTACGTAAAAGTATTATTATAATAAACAGGGCGCTTTTGTGGCCCAGGATATAATAAGTGTCACAAACTAATTGGCATCCAATGGGCATTGCCGGGTTAGGAGGCAACAACTGTTTGTGTACAATAGAAAATACGAATAAACTACAGTGAAGCTACCTAAGCTTGAATCTTTAAAAGTCGTAATTAAATAAATTCGGAATGCTTTCCAGTCAGTTTCTTCTTTGAGAATAGGATATATCAATTATATTTTAGCCACAGTTGAGTTTTTATTGTAGATCAGTATTATAATTTGATCTCTTGACGTACAATCTAGACTTATGTTTGCTACCAAGAAGAAAGTTGTAATTTAGTTGTCAAAACTTCAAGAACAAGATGTTAAATTATAGACTGCAGCTGGGAACCCCCTATTAGCTCTCTGGGGTATCTACTGTCAACCGAGTTGGTAGGCCTAGGTCGCCTTTGGCAGCTGGCTCACCTGATCCCATTTTGATCGAGGCCTCCTCAGCACACATGAAACAATGCCAAGTGCCCGGCGCTTTTCTCTGTTGTTGTTTACTGATTGTGCCAACCAGGGCGCCCGGCACGCCCCCTTTGCATCCACCCACCGCCTCCTTGCACCAAGCATTCCGCCCGAGTGGGCCATTTTATATAGCTGCCATATAGACATATAGCTGAGAGATCTGTACTTCTGCGCCGTTATAAAATTCTTGTCGTGTTTGCCGAGATGTAGACAAACACATTTTGATGGTGCAATTTACATTAAGTATTTTGCACTAGCCAAGGTCACGTCTACTCATGAGAGCGAAACGAAAAATACAAAAAATATAATAGAAAAGTGCAATTGAATACGAGTAGAGGAAAAACGCATGAGGTTATATGAGAATAACCACAAACGTACAAGTTTTGTTTTTCACTTTTTGAGATTAAATTTTAGAAGCCATTTAAATTCATTGAAGCTCTAAAGATTAAAGCACCTGCAACGCAGTTAAATGAATTTGTTATGCTTATAATGTAGTCACCTTCTTTGATACATTTTATCGTTAGATAGATACTTAGGAATGAAAATTTCCCATTGGAAAACCTAAACTAAGATATTTTCTAAATTTATTCTCCTGTTAAAAGTGACATACATTAATTTGAAACTAGAAACTTCGAATATAATATCATCAGGGGTGCAACGAGTAGACAATGTTTTTGCACTTCACCAAAGTAAATTCAATTTAGAGGACAGGCTTCACATAAACTATTAAATGAATAAACACACATTTATTAATTAATTAGTTAATGAATTCGCTGCGCAAAAGCAGTTCAGGGTTGCGTGGCAGACGATTTACGAGGCAGGGCCAACACCAATTAGGAGGCAATCGAAGAAGCGTCGATGGATCGAAATTTCAGCGGAGCGGAAGCCAAAGTTCGGAGGTCAAACTGCCTGCCTTATTGGTCTCTTATTAGTCTCCGGATTTTCTCTTGACGTCACTGGAGAAATGTGAACCGTTTGCGAATGGTAAGTGAAACTAGTTCAATGTCGTCGTCCATCTCTGACGTCACCTTTCGGAGACATTGCTCATCCGCCATGTTCGCCTTGCCGGCCGGCCTTTGGAAATGGGAATGGGTAACGGAATTGGGAATTGGGAAGCGGAATGAGGTGCACTTCCACCATCCATGACCCGAGGCCTTCCAGGGGCTGCCCTGCGCCACGTGTCGCATGTCTGGCGTGCGTATTTGTAAACAAGTGCAAGTCGCCTGTTGGCTGTATTGGTGAGCGGGGCTTTGTCCTTTTTACTATCAAAACAACAGGATACTGTGGCGCAGGCGCTGGAAAGCTCTGGAAAATCCACAAGGAACAGAGGCTGGAATGTTGGGGTGCGCTATAGTGGGGGTTTGCTAAAGTGAGTATGCTTAACCATCAATACCTTGACATTTAGTTAAGAAAATATATTTGATAATACCAAAAATTTGTTTTACTTCAATTTTGGAAAATAAAATCGACCTCTTAGCTATATGTTTCTTTACTTTAATTTATAGCTTCAAGAAAGTCGAATTTGAATTCATTTTTAACTTCGAAGAATAAAATTTTCCATCATGGATACCGAGACCTGTGACCACTTTCGCTGGCTCCCACTGTAAGTGGAGATGCCTCGCTTTTGCGCACTTTTATTGACCGTTTCTTTTGTTGTCTGCCGTGGCTGTTGCTGTTACCACTTTTGTTGCCGTTGCCTGGTGACCGCAGGCAGTTTTGTTTTTGGCCCAGCGCCTAAACTGCAACTCTTGTCAAATGGCAAAATCGATAGCAGGAGTTCGGGTAGCCTCCTTATAGTATAAATTGAAAAAGTGTTACCAAACACATTGGGGCTTACCTAAGGATTCGATTTCTACTCGCTGGCAGGATCTCGCACACACACACACACACACCGGCGCAGGACGCACACAAAGACACGAAAATTAAACGCCGCCTGGCCGAAGGGAGTGGGAGCGAGTGAGACAGATGCAGCAGGGGGTCCTTTACAGCTTTTTACTCCAATTGTAGGAACCGTTATAGAAAAATAAAATCAATATAATCATTTTGGCGTGCATATTGAGGACAGTCATCGCACTATCTCCGGGATTTAACTTTTCCGGATAGCTTCAAGGCTCAACTGGAATTGTGCAACCCGAGAAACGATTAGTTTTTATGGCGTTTGCGTTTGAGTGGCATTTAAGTTTGGAGGAGGCACAGAACTTTCGAGAATCCGGTAACAGCACTTAATTCTTGGCCAGTTTCGAAACTTCTGGCTTTATAGGAGTTTATAAAGTATATCCTTTCTAGTTATTGCGTTGTTATTTATATTTTGAATTGTCTTTTCTTTCACTAGGATTTGCTGCTGCTCTGTTGGACGTGGAAAACTCGACTGTGGCTTGGGAATTGAGTCAGCAGTCAGTTCGAGTTCCAGGCCAATTTCCAACAGCCTTCCAGTCACCCCTTCCCGCTATGGTCGATGCATTCGTACGAAGGCGACATGGCAGTTGCCATGTCCTTAGAAGTTTCTCACGCCGATGTCCTTTATTTGTTTCAGAAAAGACCTCCCATAAAGTTAACTGTCATTTCGGAAAATCGTAAAGATACTAAAGGGATATGTAAGCATTTGGGAAAATTCTCAAGAAACTGGAAACTTTTATACCTTAATATAACTACGATTTTTAAGGGATTATGTACACTCGTTAGGTAAGAAAAAAAAAGATTACATTTAAATAAAATTTAGCTTAGCATTTTAAGATTATTTTTAAGAATGCATACACGAAATTTCAAATAAATCTTACAGTTTCAGTCAAAGTTTTTTAGAGTTTCAGAAAGGCTATCGTCACATTTGTTAAGACTCTAATGTCATTGATAGAATCCAAGTCTACCAAGCTTAACTAGACGAACAATTGGGTAAGATTTTATAGTAAATTATAACAATGTCAATGCAAAATCGAAGCTATAGCACTGTCGGAATTTGGCTACTGCCAATGTTAATACTTTCAACTGTCGGCCCATCCGGTCATAATGAGGCTAAGAAATCAACAGAGTTTGATGTTCCCTGGAGCTGGAAGCAATTTGAAAGGAAAGACCAGCATAACGGCCAGGATATCAATACATTATTTAAGCAGTTAGACGACCTCGAGCAGATGGAGGATAGGCCCGGAGATCCTGCCAAGTTTCTATATCCCAGCAGTTCCCAGACCTACATTCATTCCGAAAGCTTGCCAGTTGGATCCGAGACACACAATCTAAAGCAGAAGCAGAAGCAGGATAAAAATCATGAGTTATTTGACCCATTGGACTTGGAGATATTGAATGCTGCAGGTGTGGGGGACTCCGAACAGGTAATGAGCTTCCAGCGTACCAATGATTGGGAAGGGAAATCATCTGAGGGTCAGTTCAATCTACCGCCCTCAGGTACTCCAAAGTCGAAGACTGGTCTCATCGATACAACGACTCCTCCACCTACCCAAACAATAGCAATCATTCGTTCCTCCACCTTCTGTATACCGGACTCCACGCCTTTTCGTCCTGTCACAACCAAGTGTCCAGCTCCAACAACTCTACCGACTCCAACAACTCCAACAACTGTACCAACTCCAACAACTACAACAACTTCAACAACTCCTCCAACTCCACCAACAATTCGAACAACTCGTAAACCTTCGCCGCCTTCGATACCAACTACAAAAAAAGTCCAATTTGGTCCCAAGGGTCGCAAGAAATCAAAACACCTGTCGGCGAAAACGGCCAAGATTTTTTTGGAAATTATTTTGTCCACGAAGAAACAAGTACTTTCAGTACTTAAAACCCTAAACTACATGGAGATGGAGGTGCTGAGTCAGTCGCCCGATGACTGTCCGCTGCCAGACTTCGAGCTAGGACAATCCAAGTTGAAGAAGAAGCCTAATAAGCAAAAGGAGACCGCTAAACCGCTAAAACCCTCTTCCTCGTCATATTCCCAGGCCTTCTTCTTTGGGATTCGACCTGCCAGCCAAATGGAAAGTGACTCTGACATCGCATTGGCGAGGGAGGAGGAACTAAAGCTAAAGAATCGTGTGTGGGAGGAGTATCAGCAGCAGATGAGGGACATACCGCATTGTAAGTCAAGGAGGTTTCAGATGGCTCCACAGGCCCCCATTCGACTTGCGGCCATATGGGAGCCTAAACGGCCACAGGAGCAGAAAAATCAAATCAAGTATCTTCGCAATAAGGACACCTCCGATTTTGGTGACACTTGAAATGCAGCTGGCTGTAAGAAAGGTCATTCAAATATACACATTTATGGCCTCAAGACACGCTGCAGACTGTAAATAATAAATTATAATAAACAAAAAAGAAGGGTAGCCTTTCCTAGATTCTTTGTTAAGCTGTTTTTAAAATTAAAAAATCGTTAATATATTTTATTCAAAGCAAACAAATATACATAAAATATTTTATTTTATTTAAAAACAAAGGCAATTTTCACATCAATTGAAAGGTCAAATTTATTTTTCATGGGTAAGACTGCGAAGATAACTAGTTTTCATATTTTTCGCCACGAATATATTTGTGGTTTAGTTTTCAATCATTTTTTAAAAAGGGCGCCTAAGAGACATATACTGTACAGGTCACACTGAAAAAGCTTGTTAAACTGATGTTGCCAGACTGCTGACATATATCGATATATATTTGTTTTTCACATCTAAATTATCAATTACCATTTGTATAATTCTTTCCAACTATTTGTTGCTATAAGAATTGTTCAAAATGTCTAAACGAATAAAACCATACGAATCTGACTTCTCCAGTGATAACCAATAATCCACCTCTGGAAGGAGATTAATCCTTTTATGTTTTTAGCACCACATTTTTCGTTTTTATTTTTTATTGAAGCATAGTCGCGTACATAATACTCGTACTTGGAAAAGACTATTTTAAGACCCGTGAAGAATAAAGTGAATTTCCTTCCAAAAAAATCAGGAAATATTTCATATTCATAAATATTCATCACAAAAAATATCGATATATATTTAGTTTTTGACCACCTCTAGTAGGCCGCCCGGCCATTTCTAAAATGTGGAAAACTTCTTGCTGTGTTGCTACACACTTTTCCTTTCTGTGTGTTTTTTAAGTCTCTTATACTCTTAGTTAAAATTTGTTACAAAGTGATCGTACAATAAATATTGTATGGAAACGCCAATATACATGCAAAGGGCGAAGAGAAAGAAATTAAAGCAAAACAAGAAACCAAAGAGGAATAGAAAAAGCGCATTCGGCGCTGTCATATTTTCCGTTTTCGGAGAACATCATTTTTGCAGCCTTAAGTGCATATCTCAGTGAGATATTCTTATTATTTACTGTTTCATCCAGGTTAGTTAAATCGCATTTAATGTTTATTGCACTGCCGGCTTGTGGAATGCCAACCAAAAGAAATAACGGTACTTCTTACGTACATATGTATGTATGTATGAGCAAAGCAAGAGGCAAAGATTTTCCAATTTTTGCATGACCAGCACATTCATCGACAGATAATTTTGTTTTAATCGCTCGACTTGAAACTGTAGAACAAACAAACAAAAACTGTCATGCTGAAAATGTTTATGCATTTTAGCTGCTGCGCCGCCGCTGTGCTTGTCTCTGTCTCTTTAACTTTGCTCTTATCGTTCTCTTTCTTGTGCACTCTTTTGCGTTATCTGTGCGCGTTCGGTTCTGTGTTTGTTGTTGCGAATTTTTTTTTACGCTTCTCCGCTGTTTCTGTATTTGTGGGTGGTGGTGGGCGCACGCATTCCACACCACTTGAATCATGCTCAATGGGTTAAGTATTTAATGGCTCTCTTTCTCCTCCTCTCCCCGCTAGATTCGTTGAACGGATACGGATTGCCATGTCCACGGATAAGGAAAGTGCCCTCAAGGCTATTGCAACCGTTGTGAGGGCTCTGACTGTGTCCCTCAAGCCGCCGGTCTCGTTGATGTCCATTCTGAAAGACTACAGGGGACTTGAGGGCGAGCCGCTTCCCTATCGCAGGCTGGGCTTTCCGACACCCGAGGCTTTGTTGTTGGCAACAAACGAGTTCAATATCCAAAGGTTCGGAAATGAGGTAAATTACATATTTTCAAAATATTCTGATTCGATTACCCTTTCAGTTTCCTAGTTACTTTTAATTGTCAAGATTCTTTGCGAATTACTTGCACATTGAAAGTGCTCTTTCACCCGCTCTCTCTCAGTCAAACTTTACTCTCTCTCTCTTTACCGCTCACGTGCGCAGCTTTCGCCTCACTCTCTCTCACTCTCCTGGCGGTCAGTGTTGCTGTGTAAAACAGCTAAATCTAAAAGTAAAACATAAGATAATTGTTAAAATTCCTTAACAAATTATGGGAGGGCTTTACTCGACGAAATCTAAATTTATCAGGCTAATTTAAATAGAAGAGAATTTTAGACTTGGGACAGTAATATTATCTTCACACATCTTAATAACAAAAATTCAGTATCACCACCAAAGCTAGCTTAAAATATAAAGTAGCCAATTGAACATTTCCACCGCTGACAGTAAGCTTTTTGGTGTGCGGGCGCTTCAGCGGCGCCGCTTTCAGTTCATTTCGCTGGCTAAACGCGGTGAGCCGCTGCTGCTGCGCTTGTCTTACCTCTCGCTCTCGCCGCTGTCTCGCGCCACGCTCCCCACCGTCAACGGGGCTGCCCATCCAAGGGGCAACGTGTCAACAGAGTCTTCTTCTTTTCATCTTCGCCGTCAGAAGTGTAAACAATGGGTCTTACCTGGTCTAGATGAGGGTTTTCGCGGGCCTTGGCTTTCCTCGAGCTTTGCTTTTCTTTTTTTATTATTTTTGCTGGGATTCGTGCTGATTAAGCGCTTTATAAATGCAACCGAAAAGCTAAAACAAAAAGAGTGTAGTAACACGAAAATCGAAAATGCCAGCAATTTAAACTTTTATTTCGCGTGCGACTGTGTGTGTGAGTCGTCGGTGTGATTGCATGGTGAAAGTGAACGAATGCCGTTTCCTTCTGTCTTCGTCCATCCATCTCTACAAATGGGCTACACTTGAACTTTTTGCATTGTTCTGAATGTAAAGTCTATGTTCGCCTTGCAATGCACCTGGCTGGCTGGTTCGCTCACCTGTGGGCGTGTGGGCGGCGCTTCCGGCCCGCTTATTGCAATGCCAAATCGATAATCGGGCATCCAAGAGATGCAGCCACGAAGTAAACGCATGGAAGTCAAGACAGCTGATATTTATTTAAAATAATATATGTAGCATACATATATACATTTGATACTTATTAAAATCATTCCATATTGTTTTAAATATTGCATGTACTAAGAATTCATTACAAAAAACAATAGGAAATCAATTTTATTCACTGTGTAAAGAGCGGTCACTGTATATTCAGCGTTTGCAATTAAATATAAATAATTTAAATGTGTCCCCCTTTGAGTCAAGCGCTCTCTGTGCACCATTATCACGTCTTGAGCTTCACAGCCCTGCCCATATCCAGACCCTCATTGCTCCATGGGAGCTGTGACCCTATAAAGATCGCAGTGCTGAAACGCAGCTCAGACACTGAATCACTCTCAACTGTGTGTGCGCGTAAACAAAATTATAACTTCAAACTGTGCTCCGATTTCTAAACAATTCCCGAGCACTTGAGTAAACAGGCTTGGCTGTAAAATTGCTTGGTGTGCAGTTAAATGTGCCATATTGGATTACCCCCAAAGCCAAGAGTTGTCCAAGCGGATCGGCTTTCCCTTCCAAGAAACTAAAGAAAGCGAATGCTATCTGGGATTGCCTATTAAAAGCAAAATGTTGCATAACTTGAAAAAAATGCTTTGCTATCTAAACTAATTATGAATATATCTCCAGTTTAAACTTACTCATTTTTTTTTATCCTTCAGGTCCTCATCAGTGCGAAGTACAGTGCCAAAACCGAGCACATAGCGTCTATGGTCAGAGGGCAGAAGAACAGCGTAAAGAACAAACCTAAGCCTAAAGTTAAGCAAAACCCCTCATACGCCAATAGATATCCCAACAACTACTATCCACAAGCGCAGCAATTTTATCGACCATCGCCGCAGCAACATTATCAGCAATCGACAGCGCAACGTTATTGTCCTCCAACCGAACCTCATCTAACGCAAGTTCTTAACCAAGAACTGAACCGTGTTCGCCAGCAGCAACAGGAGCAGTTTCTCGCCCAGAAACGCTTCGAGGAGAACCGTCAGAGCCAGCAACGCGAACTAGAGCAGCTGAGAAACGATCTAATCAGGCAAAAGGCGAATTTGGAACAAGATCTTAGGAATAGCCTCAAGAAGGAGCTTGAGACTCGGATCAATAAAGAGCTGAAGGTTACGATAGAGAAAGAGATTCAGGAGCGTTTCGTGAAGCAACTGGACACTTTAAAAAAGCAGCACGAGAGTGAACAAAAAGCACTAGTGGGATCTTTGGAGAAAGCCAAAGAGGATTGCAAGAGAAAGGAGTTGGAGAAACAGAAGAGCACAGAAGCAGAAAGTCATAGGCAGGACAATAAAAAATCGGAGATCTCGAAGCAGCAAGGGAACAGCGAAACTCGCAAGCAGGAGATGGAGAGGGATCGAGCTCAGAAACCCAAAGGACCTACATCCATGCGTGCCGCACAGGTGAACCAGGAAAAGATCTTGATCACTATACCAAATGATAAGATCGGATCCACCACTAACGGTCATGGTCCGAGCCGCCCTCAGAGCAACGGGCAGCCCAAACAGAACGGGGGCAAGCCACCGCTTCGGGCCATATTGGGCAATAGTGCATCTCATCGTCCGAACGCACCAAGTGTCGATGCTGATTCGTCTGCCGCCCGCTTTAAGCGACCATTGCATCCGCGCATTCCTCACCCAGGGCAGACGCGCCCTGCTGCCATTTCCGTAAATGATAGACTTAAACTTAAAGCGCAACCGCAAGCTATGATACCGGTAGTGACTCCCATCACGCCGCCCGACTCGCCAGAAAATGCGAAACCCAAAGTAACTACCCAGGCGGTTGATGTTCAAAAGGTTACGAGCCATGTTCCCAAGACTCATAACTCCACGCCAAATACGAAGAAGAACGTTAACTTCAAGTTCAATCCGACGTACGACGCCGTTTCATCGTTGAATATGTACTGCGAAGCCCATGGCTTTGAGAAGCCAAAGTTCAATATCTTCAATACACCACCACATCTGAATTGCTCCGTGAGGATTGAGGGCGACGTGTACAGCAGCTATCCTCAGGAGTTTGTGAATGAGGAAACGGCCTACCAGCGCACAGCCCAGATTGCAATTGAGCGCATAAAGCACGCTGAGTCGCGTAAGCAGCTCTCTGTGTGCACGGTCAACGATGAAGAGTTCATCGAGGGACTGTATCATGAGTTGCTTAAATACCCGCACGGCATTCTGGGCCACAAGCTAGAGGATTGGTATGGTAATACCTTCGGGCACCACCTACCCAGCCACTGGTACGATCTTATCATCGAGTCGAACAAGATTCGCGTAGAGCACGGCATTAATCCACGAATCATTCTGTTCGCCAACGATCCCGGGTGTCCGGTTCCGATTCACATCAACACGCCCACCACAATGCCAAATCTGGTGCTGCCTTGGCAAGGTATCGAGGGAGGATCGCACGATTGGAACATGTACATTAGCCACTGCAATTCGACGACTGAAGTTTGGGCCAGACTAATCGATCAGATCGGAAAGCTGGATGAGTTGACAACGCACATGAGTCGACATTTGGCAATGCCACACTACCGCCAGCAGGTGCTCGATCCTCATGTCCAAGAGTTATACCTGGTGGAGATCCGCGAGGGCTGGAACCGTGTTCGTGTGATCTCCGTAGATGCGGAGCAGAAAAGTTGTCGGTGTCACTTCGTCGATTTTGGAGATACAGCACAGTTCGCGTTTGAGGAGCTGTTTCAGTGTCCGGCCCAGTTCCTTGTGCTTCCGGCCCAAGCAATTTGTCTAAGTTTGTATGCGTTGGACAAGTTTAGGGATCATCCTCACGCCCAGCGTGTACTGATTAACGAACTGGAAGGCCAGTCAGTAGTGGCCCGTGTCCTCACCAGCCAGAAACAGTTTCTTGACCTCGGCGGTGCCGCTCAAGGCATAGTAAGTAAAGGCAGACGGCAGCCATGTCTGGTGGCCACTCTTTACGACACATCCACGGCCGAGGATGTTCATCTAAATGATCTGGTTGCCAGTAGAATCATTAAGAGTACCCCGCCGCCTACACTCAATGATGATCAGAATATTGGAAAAACCACTCCCATTTTCGTGACGCACATCACCGAGGACGGCGATCTGATGGTGCTAGTTCGCAACGACGACCTGAACTTTGTGGAACGAAGCATTGCTAACACAGTGGCTGATCTGGGTGAGCAGGATCGCGTTCGATACTCTGATCTGCTCCATGACCGGCATGTCTTCGTCTGTGACGAGTCTGTTGACGGCCTGAAGCACTGGTATCGCGGGCGATTGGTATCCAAGCCTCAAAACTCCGAAGAGGAGACCTTCGACATCTACTACATAGACGATGGACGGCAGCGCAAGACGCATATCTCAAACATTTACCGATTGGAGGCCAACAATAGAGCTCTAGCCTGGTACCCTCCACAGGCGCTGGCTGTTAGCCTGTACGACGTCCCCGAGATCTCGAGTCATATGATGGGACGACTGCGTGCACAGATGCCGCCGCGCACTGAAGCTTTGGTAAGTTCATCCTCTTAATATTTAAATATTATTAATGTCTTCATCGCATTTCCGTCTCCTTATGCAGCTCAAAGTGGTAGCCAAAGACATTACGAAGCCCATGGTTAAGGTATACATCCGCCAGGGTCCGGAATCGATGTATAGTAGTGTAAACACCGGCCTTAGAATGGAATTCGAGATTCAGAGGTAAGTTTTGTATTATCAAGTCTTTTGTGTAAACTTTCCATTCATTCTCATTATGATCATTGTCAATAATTTGCATCCTCATAAAGCAACTTACATCCCACCATCTAAAACGATCCTCTGGTTAATGCTAAGTTTCTATTAGTGCTTTCGATAAACTGGATCTGACTTGCTAACGAAAAAACATCTTCGATAATGAACCTACTGTAAGCTAACCTTAAGTCATTCACATCTTTGTATATAATCGACGAAATATAATCATTGGTTGCCATCTAATTATCCAATAAGCCCAAGAGTGCGAACGTGTTTTTCATGCCTTCAATCCAAACACAATTCCTGGCTAACGCCTGCTCCCCAAACCCGCACCCACAGTACGACTCGTCCAGAATCCTTGGATGATCTGCAGTCGAATACCACCATCCAGTCGCCAAGACGTAGCAGCTTTAGCTCTGTGATCTCGAGTCAGAGCAGCAGCAGTGACCTGGTCGCCTTTAGTTCGCCGGCGACGCCCCAAAAGGTATCTACACATAGATCAGGAGCCACAACCTTTTCGACACTTCTGCTTAAAGATTACGAAGCTATTCCGGCCGTGGGCGCCTACTTCGAAGTGCGCGTAGCTCTCTCCATAAATCCCGGTCACTTTGCGGTGAGTTCTACAACTAACCCTAACTAAATTGTATTCAAATTAATGTTTACATCCGCCTGCAGGTTCAACCTTACAAATGCTACAATCAGCTGCAGTGTTTGATGAAGGATCTGCAAGAATATTGCAAGGGATCGGCTGCCAAGGGAGTCCAGCCCTCCCAGTTGGCTATTGGTGAGGCCTATGCCGCGCCCGACAGTGAAGGCGTTTATCATCGGTAGGTTCATGTGTTGGACCGAATTACGAATAACCATTAACTATCTTGACTTTCATTACAGCGTAAATATTCGCAAGATTTACGATGAGATTATTCACGTCAGTTTCGTGGACTTGGGCGATGATGGTGTGGTGGCCTGTGATCAATTAAAAACACTTCCACCGGAGTTGAGAAAGCTGCCCAAGATGGCGCTTCCAGCTCAATTATATGGTGAGATCTACTACGAACTGAATTCCCCAAACTCATTGATTTCCATTGTTTCATCTTCTTTGTTTTTAGGCGTTCAACTGGAAGATGTGGTATGGAGCCAGGAAAACTGTGTCCGCTTCCGCAAGCTAACGTTGGGCAAGATGTTCATCGGGATTGTGCGGCGCCTGCACAAACAGAAGGACGAAACGCGAGCGCTGTGCTTGGAGCTGATTGACACCTCCACACCGCAGGATATTAAGCTGCACGAGACTCTCATTAGCGAGAATCACGCGCAGCCGGAAACAAAGGAAGTCTGAGTTGGATTCTTCTGAAGCTGTTCATGTTTATGTTTGCTTACTTATAGTCTTAGCCTAAGTACATATATTTATTATGACCATACATTCCGCCAGATGGAAAGAATAATTACTCTGCAGTGCAAAGCGCAACAATAAACTAAGGATTTTGCTATCGAGAGAACGGGTGCACCTGATTTGCCGCCTTGATGTTGGTCTTTACCGCCGACGGCGCCTTGCCCAGCTGTTGCTGCACATTACCCGGACTCATGGCGGGTCCGCCCATTGGCGAGGGTGCACGGATCGAGGGTGGGACCATCATGCCAGGTCCAGGTCCATAGTTGGTGAGCTTCAGGCCCTTACCCATGCCCACGGCGGCTACGAGCAGCTGTGTGTCCGCCATGCTGCTCGTCTGTTGGATTCCAGTGCGCGAGGAGCTTTCGATCTCCCACTCTTCGCGGGCCTTGCTCACCATGTCTAGGACGTGCGACACAACTTTGTTGTACTGCGTGACCTGTTTCATTGCCGCATCATTGGTGAGGTTGGCCGCCTTCTGCTCGTTCTGCTGCATCTTCTGCTCTGTGATCGGATCCGGCCGGGTCCGCAGATAGTCCGGAACAATGTCGTGTGAGAAGACCGGCACTCGACCCTCTGTGATATTGATGAGCGTATCGTCCCGTTCCATTGAGACTAGCAGAGGCAGGACGGTGCGATTTCGAAGCGGTGGACACTGTTCCTTCGCCAGGATTTTGGTCAGTCCGGTAAGATGACTGGAAATAATAGCGAAGTTGTCCAGGAACGTTGGCCAGTTGATTGTCTCGTATTCCATCTCCAGTTTTTGAATCATGGAGAGCACCGCCAGCTTGAGGTCGTTTAAGCGCTGGAGGACGGTATCCAGCGTCATCTCGAATAGCTTTTCGTCCCGCTGCATTTTATTATGTTTACTTGTTAATTATTTCACATAAAACACGGTTGTGTGACCCTTCTCCATTTGGCTACTGACAATTCGGTATTTCAGCAAGTGATACGAATAGAGTCACGACTATCGAATAAAATTGGTGCTGTAAACGGTACAGTGGGATTTATTAATAAAAAAGTGCATAAAATTTTATTTATATAAATTAACTTAAAATTAATTTAATTTTAATTAATAAATATTACAATTTTGATTGTGATTATTATTTATTTTACGAAAATTTGACGAATATTTCTTAAACCGATAGGAAAATTAATTTATTAGAAGAAAAACATGAATTGCTCTGTTTCGAAGATATTTAATATTATTAAACACATTCGGTTTTAATTTTAAGCAAATTGCTAGGACTATGACATATTAGCCAAACAAACGATCAGTAAATTTAAAGGTGAATGTAAAATTGAATAATAAAAAAAGTAATTAATATGTATTGGTAAATTAAACATGTTTTTCGACAATATATGAGCTGTTGATTTTTAAAGTTGCATAAGTCAAACAAATTTAAAACCTTAAACCCCAAATAATTTAAAATCTTAATAAAATAAAAATAATCTGAATAGGTAGCAGTTTGAAAATATGTCATACCTCACAAATATAAATTATATAATAACATATAATATAACATATAAATTATATAATTTAAGATATATCAACTCAGAGACATGGTTTTTAATTAAATTTAAAAATAATATTTTGATTTTGGTCAACATCTATCATTTGTCCTATGCATCTTTTGAAAGTTTTTCTTGTCATTTGACCGGAATGGACTAATTCTTTATTATCCAATTCCAACATGCAAAACTTAGGCGTGCCGAAGTGGGCTTTAATTCTTGTTGCAAATTCGAACTTTATATATAAAAATAAACTCCTAATTAATTATTTATTAAATAAAATCGTTTTCTTATATTGTTATTGTATTTCGCGGATGGCTTGTCTTGTGGTGTTTTTCTGCTTGCCACAAACGGTCTGACTAACATGGCCGCCGCAAATCCATGAAAAAGAAAATTTTCTTCGCCGTGTTTTTTGCCATCAAATCCCCACAAAATCTCGAAAAGCGTGCACGCAAAAGTTGCCAAATGTAAGCAAATTAGTTTAGTGTCTGTTTACGTCGTTTACACAATCGTCAGTGCTTAATATCGGTTATTAATGCTGTCGTCGGGAGTCCCTTTGCCTCACTCTGTCTCCCTCGCTCGCTCGTTCGATTTGAGTTCCCTCTCGTGCTGACAAAGCAAATAAATTGGTGTTGGTGTGTGTGTATATGTGCGTGAAGAAGCAGAAGCTGAAAAATGGAAAATGAAGAAAATGCAAGAGTGAAACAATCGTGCAAGCCGGTTGGATATATGCTTCTCCCTCGTTCGATTTGGATTCGGACTTGGTTATCCCTAGGTCGTTTCCTTCCGCGGCGCGTTATGGGTTGAATACGTGCATTCCCCTCACCTCGCCTTGCCCTCCATGGCAGCCGGAACGTGTCCGCCGGACTCACAGCCTCGCTGAATCTTTATATTTCTCTCTCTATCTTTCTCTATGTTGCTGTTGATGTTGTTCTTTTTTGTTGGCCATTTCTAATGCTCTCTTACATGTTTCTATATATCAATTGTAATATATTTGCAGCTTGTGTGTATGTTTTTGAAATGGTAAAGTGTGTTGTCGCGTAAATACGGGTAATAAACACGAAAAACGCCTTCGCAATAAACGTGCGCGATTTTTGCCAGGCCGAAATTCCCGAATCCCGAGTCCCGAATCCGCAAACCGCGATGGCGTCGCGCAGGCGCGCCGAACTGAATCCTAAACTGCACATGGACAGGCAGCCGACGGCTGCCCGCATAACAGGTACCTGAAATCCACCATTCCACCACCAAGCAGCAACTACTTCTAGACCTAGACTTTGGGCTGGGGATAGCCTACATACAGATGTATCTCGCCGGGATTAGCTATTTGCGATTCGCGCTTAGCCATGTCCTAAGCACCCTAATAAATGCATAATAAAAGGGCTTTCCGGGAAAACGGATCGGATCGAGGCGAAACGCAGACGATGCCAAAACCGTAGCTGACCTCTCTCCCATCTCAACTTCCAGATCCCTCATTACCCGCTGGCAAGCGACGGGAGATTGACAACGTCATGAAGAAGGCTCGTGCCAACACCACCAACGACTACTGGGACAAGAAGCTGATCGAGGCCGAGGAAAAGGATCCGAATCGGTGGCGTCACACCGGCTACAAGAAGATGTACATCCAGGGCGAAAGCAGCTCCGGCGAAAGCGATCGAGACCGTGACCGTGACCGTGATCGTGAACGCGAAGGTCGGGACCTACGTGAGGGTCGGGATGCCCGTGAAGGAGGAGCGCCTTCCTATGGCCGCTATCCGCCAACTGGAGCCGGAGGACCTCCGCCCGGGCCGCCTCCACCGCGCTATGGCCGCTCCCGTTCGCCGCACTCCAGGAGCCGGTCCCGTCTTCGCAAGTCCCCACCGCTGTCACCGCCACCGCGTCGCCGATCACCGCCGATGCCTATGCATGGTTTGGAGCGCCGCGGCGGACCGCGTTCACCTCCAATGCCGCGTTCGCCCAACAGCCACGATGCCATGATGCGTCGGCCGGGCAATGGCCACGGAAGGCCACGGTCTCCGCCGGAACCGAGCAGTGGCTCCTCCTCCTCGTTGCGAAGAAAGCCGAACGCGTCGCGCTCTCCGTTGGGCCGTCGTCGCTCACCGCCGCTGCCTCCGCCGTCGTCGTCGTCTGGCATGGAAAAGCGGGGTGGTGTCACCCATATTCTGCCGCGTTCTAAACGGCCGCCCTCGCCGCCGCCAAGGGTAAATATCTAATTCAGATGAGATCGATCATTTATAAAATAATATTTCTTCTGTCTTTCTTTTAGCACTCGATGCGTTCGCGGTCAAACAGTTCGATGAGCAGCAGTTCGGATGACTCTTGCTCTCTTTGTTCGCCCAGCCATAGGCATAGATCTCGGTAAGCCCGACAGAGTACTTAGGACTTGCACAGACTCTTACTAAACCCTGTGTCCTCTTTGCAGATCTCGTGGTCCGCGTTCGCCGCCACCCAAGCCACGTGGCCATTATCGTTCGGGGGCGCCGCCGCCTCCTCCGTCGGATTCCCATGGCCGCATCCATGGTCGACCAAGTACCCCACCGCCCGTGCGCGGAGGTGGTGGCAGTTCGGTATCCGCAATGGAAAAGTATCGTCAGGCGAAAATGCGTCACATCAGTCATGAGCGCGGGTCCTCGTCGGATGCTCACATGAAAATTGCGCGGTCGTCTCGTCATTCTCCGCCGCCGGAAGATCCGCGTCTTAAGCACCGTCCTCCAGAGCCACCAGAGCCGGCAGCAGCGCCAGCCGGAGCGCCCACGGCGCAAGCCAAAAAGAAAAAGAAGGAAAAGGAGGTGGGTAACAATAGAGAAATAATTTCAAGGACACAGAACATAATAACATACCATATTGATTTCTTTCCAGATGAGGCCACGCATTAAAATTGAAGGTGAGAAACGCAAAAAGCATCCGAGCGGGACGGCCAGTGGAGCCGGAGCTAACGCGGCTAACTCCTCCTCCGATTCGGACGACTCGGGCGATTCGAGCGACGAGGTGGGCTCGCTGCCCACATTCTCGGCCACGACGCGTTTGACGCTCTCAGAGCGATTCGGAAAAATGGCGCAGTGGAGCATCGATCGCAGCAACATGGAGAACATGCGCATCACCAAAGACTCCGCCGGTGGGGCCCTCAAAGTGATGATCGAAGAGGGCCTGGAGTCGCCGCCGCGTCGTTATTCGTACTCACCGGCGCCGGCCGGGCACTTTCCGGAGGAGTTGGCCACCACAGCACCGTCGGGAATGCTGTCGTGGGACGATGTGCGCGTCCGTTACGAATACTACAAGAGTCGTGGTTATTTAAGGGATCTGGATCTAAAGGTAATTTAAAAACGGAATACAAATGGCAAATGCCGATATGATTAACTAATGCTTGTCAATCTATTTGCAGGACTATATCAAGTGGGAAGAGTGGTGGTATAAGTACCAGGAGTGGTTAAAACAGGAACGTTACTATGAGTACTGGGATCGGAGTCAGCAACTGCGTAGACGGCGCAAGAAGCTGCCGGTCACTCAAAGGTTAAATTAACATCCCTCTTGTCATTTAATCCCCGCATCTTAATCATTTAATTTTTTCTCCCTTCCCCCTTACACTCAAAATAAACTCTTTTTTTATTTTGATCTATTTTTCTTTCTTTTGTGTTCTATCATCACATTTTCACCATCCCCATGAAACCCCTTTCGTACATTTTAAATGTATGAAACTGCATATGTCCGCTTCTGTATTTGATAACCAATAACAACTTTCGAACAAGCGCCGACAGTCGGGGTTGATATTTAGCCTGCATGTGGCATAGGGATAACATTAACATTGAACTTTGTAAGTTTTATGGAGTGCGTGTTGTTCAATGCAATGCAGACACACTCAGACACTTGTAAACGCATTAAACATAACAGCCACTATAAAAACCGTGTTTTTTTTCTGGGTTACGATGAAGTGGGATTCGGCGTGATGATTTGCATTCCTTCTGGAAAATGAAACCTTAAGATACACTAGAAAGTAAACCAGTTGCCATGATTTGATATTATGGTAAACACTAAAAGAAAGACAAACAGATGCAATTTATTTTCTATCTTAATATTATGCTTTATATAAGGGTGAACATCTTTATTGTATTACTTTTCAGAGCACAGTTTATCAATCGATGGATTATTTTTGAACTAAGCCGAATAACCCAATTAAGAAAAAGCATTCACTTCAAGATCGCCTTACCCAATACTATAATATATTACTATTAGTTACTTGGCCAAAGAACTTGTGAGATGGTTCTGAGGATGCCTAGCTGGGGCAACCAAGCGGGTCGCAGGTTGCGGATAGCGAACGACCTCGTGAGAGGTTAACTGTGAATAAGCAGGCGGTGGAAGTCAGATGGAAACCGTTAGACGGAAACCAATAGACCTGTAAATAAGCAGTCCCGGACAATCAGCGGGTAGCAA